CTTACATTTTAAGTCTCTAATACATTTTTGTATATGGTGTAAGATTAGGGTCCATTTTCATTCTTTTACATGTGGATGTCTAGTTTTCCCAGATATCAGCCATTAGTTGGAGAGATCCTTTCCCCATTGTGTAGTCTTGACTCACTTGTTGAAGACCATATAAGCATGGGTTTATTGCTGGGCTCTCTCTTCTGTTCCACTGATCTATATGTCTGTCTTTATGCCAGTACCATACTGATTTGATTACTGTAATTTGGTAACATGGTTTCAAGTCAGGAAGTGTGAGGCCTCCTGCTTCTTCTTTCTCAAGAATGTTTTAGCTGTTTGAATCCTTTGTGGTTCCATATGAATTTTAGAATTGTTTTTTCTATTTCTGCAAAAAATGCCATTGGAATTGCATTGAATCTATAGATCACTTTGGTTAGTATGGACATTTTAACGATATTAAGTCTTCTAGTCCATGAACACAAGATGTCTTTCCATTTACTTGTCTTTAATTTCTTTCAGCAGTATTTTGTAGTTGTCAGTATACAAGTCTTCCACCTCCTTGGTTAAGTTTATTCCTAACTGATTCTTTCTGATGCTATTGTAAATAGGATTGTTTTCTTAATTTCCTTTTTGGATTGTTTTAGTGTATGGAAACACACAGATTTTTGTATGCTGACTTTGCATCCTGCAACTTTGCCAAATTTGAGTATTAGCTCTAATAGTGTTTTTTTGTGGAATCTTTAGGGTTTTCTACATATGAGATCATATCATCTGTGAACAGAGATATTTTTATGTCTTCTTTTCTAGTTTGGATACCTTTACTTCTTTCTTACCTAATTGGTCTTGCTAGGACTTCAGGACTATGTTGAATAGAAGTGGTCAGAATAGGCATCCTTGCCGACATTATATACTTCAAATTTTTTTCTTTTTATAACATGAGATTGGAAAGAGTAACTGGGAATATTTCATTTTACACCTTTTTAGAAATTATCTGCTTACTCAGTGATGCACTAGAGAGAGAGGAGGGAAGCAAAGACAATTTTTGAACCAAGATATGCTCACCTTCGAGAAAACACTGACCAAGGAGAGAGTCCAAAATTATAATCTGAGTATAAAATATATTTCTTTAAGACAAACACAACGTAAATGTGAGTCAAATGGAAAGAGTCTGCAACCTAATTCACACTTGCTCAGTTATAATAAAAGTTATATCCGAGAAAACTCTTATGAATACAAGGAATGTGGAAAAACCTTCAGAAACAAGTTTTGTCTCATTAAGCATGAAAAAAAGCCTACAAGAAAAAAAAACCTTTGGATGCCCTGAATGTGGGAAAGCCTTCCAAAAGAAGTCTTGCCTCATTAGACATGAAAAGAAACATACAAGGGGAAAAAAAAAAACCTTTGAATGCAATGACTGTGGGAAAGCCTTTAACAGTAAGGGACACCTTATAGCTCATCAAAAAATTCATAGTGGAGAGAGGCCCTATGTATGCAATGATTGTGGGAAAGCGTTTATGCATAAAGCACAACTGGTGGTCCACCAGAGACTCCACATGAGAGAGAAACCTTACAAATGGCATCAGTGCGGGAAGTCATTCACTTGGAACTCCTCCTTTACCCAACATGTGAAATCGCATACATTTGAGAACTCATTTGAATGTAAAGAATGTGGGAAAACCTTCAGGTACAGCTCATCCCTTTATAAACATTCTCGAATTCATACAGGAGAGAAACCATACCGACGTAGAGAATGTGGCAAAGCCTTTGCAGACTTCTCAGTGCTAGTCATGCATCAGAGGATTCATACAGGCGAGAAACCCCATGGGTGTACTAAATGTGGCAAAGCCTTCATCAAGAAGTCACATCTCCTTAAACATTACTTAACTCATACAGCAGAGCAACAAAACAAATGTAGTGCGTGTGGGAAATCTTTTAACCAGAAGACTCTCATTCTCCATCAAAGGAGTCATAAAAACAGGGTAGCTGTGTGAATGTGGGAAAACTTAAAATTAGTTAGCCTTTTAATAAAGCGGCAAAGAATTCATCATGAGAAAAACTCTATCAATTGGATAGATATGGAAAAGCATGTTCTGAAATTCATATTCTGTGATACTACTAATTTTATTGAGATTATAGAAAATTTTGAGTTATAAATTGACAATTTTACTGTATAGCATAAAACGAGGAAGTTGTAAAAAATTTAAAAATCAAGGCATCAAGCTGACTATAATTACATATATGTACTGCCCCGGTTTACGATTGTCATACAAGTTATACAAATACAATTAATGCATTGCTTAAATTTGTATAACCATAGGTTTGAAATACATGCTAGGCACTTACACAAAATTTTATCTGTTATGGTGATGGTTACACAACATTGTGATTGTACTTAATGCCAATGAATTGTACACTTAAAATGGTTAAAATAGTAAATTTTATGGAGTGTATATTTTATTGTAATAAAAAATGTATAAATAAAACTCTCAACCAGGATTATGTCTGGTAAACAGCATCATTGTCTCTTCAAACCTAAAATCACCATATGCAGGCTGGCCAGTTATAAGTGAAATCGTACGGCTTATTTTATAGACCATTTCGTGGCACGTATGTAAAGCTGTGGCACCTGTGCCCAAGCCTTCTGGAGCCTCCTTTTAAATAATAGAAGTTAGGGACAGTGATGAAGTCTTGTACTGCCTCTGCTCAGCTGAGGACATTGGATAATATGTTTTCTTGTCTATGCAGAACACCAAAGTGTGTGTGTGTGTGTATGTGTGTGTGTTTAATCCTGATTAACTAGTCACTGAAGAAAGAAAGCAGCTGTGTTTCGTACTCTAAGCACTTAGTACAGGAAGAGGCATTTCTTCAGGTAAATAGTCATGTAAATAAAAGCCATCCTATTTCCCTGGCACAGGTACATAAGTAGGAGTGAACCTAGCTCAAGTAGCTTATAACTGGGGTACTTTGTTTAGAAAAATTAGGCGGCATGATACTTTGCAGAGACTTCTGGAAGAAAATTATTACTTTCTTGTTTTGGAAATTGATTTAGCGATATCTCAGGCTTGTTTGGAAGTTTCTGGGTGACTAGCCTAAGTGTTGCATCAAGCTATTTGAAAAGTTTTTCTGCTTTCATGAGCTGCTTGGCAGCTATTTTATAATTTGACATTATGTAAATTCTGTGTTTTCTCTTTTAAAACACATGAACCAACAATGGTTTAAGTGGAAATTTTATATTTCACTTTAAATGTTCGTTGATAATGTAAAAGTCTTTAAACCCTTTCTTCGGTGGTTGTAAGGCTTATACAGCATTGAGCTTGAACCTAAATTCACCAAATCAGGTTTTCTCTTGCAAGCCTAAGTTTTTGGATTAAACGTATGAACTTGGAATTATTTTTCTTTCTTGAGCATTTTTGTAGGTGGTGATGGGTGAAGACTTACGCATGAGAGTGATTTTCAGAATATCCATCAGATCTAAGTTAAGCCTGTCTCACAAAGTTTTCAATAACTAAGACTACATGCTAATTAAACAGGTAGTCACACCAAATCACTTGGCAAACCACAAAAGTGTATATGTAAACAAATTATAAACTCAGGGAGCTTTTCTCAAGTTCAACTGCCTTATCTCTCATTTCCTTTTAAAGCTGTCATTTTGCTTTATTTACCATTACTCTTCCCCTCCTAGTTCTTTCTCAGTTCCTGTCCTTAGCAGTAATAGCATCTGAGCAAGTACAAACTTTAAGACAGCAAGAAGACTCCCTTAGGGGTGTAGAATGTCTCATTGCTGTGAGAATTATGCGAGACTCTTAAGAGAGGTCTTGTGCATCGGGGGGCAGACTGAGAATGAGGAGGCTGGGAGTGTTATCTGATGTTATAGTCTGAGCTCTATGAACTAAAATGTTTGCTCCCTTTCTTAAATGCTGTAATTAATAGAGTAAAAGAATTAGCTAAGTATGAACCAAAATTAAATGTTTGAAAAGTTGAAACAAAGAAAATTTTTTCCTATTAAAACTAAGTCATTGTCAGGCACTCAAACAAAGTCATGAATCCCACTAATTCTAATGCATTTCATGGGGCTAGAGCTCATGTTTGAGAAGGAACTGGTCTATGCTGTGTACATATTATGCAAATGCATAAATTAGCAACATTTTGAGATTAAGTGTGAGGTGTGCAGAACATTATGTCAACTAATCAAGTATGCAGATTGTTTAAGTAAAATTGAATTTAAAGTTTTTTTTTTAAAACATCATGTTTAGGGGTGCCTGGGTGGCTTAGTTGCTTAGGTGTCCAACTCTTGATTTTGGCTCAGGTCATGATCTCAGGGTCATGAGATTGAGCCCTGCATCAGGCTCTGCGCTCAGTGGGGAGTCTGCTTGAGATTCTCTCCCCCTTTGCCTCTCCCCCTACTCAAACTTAGGCTCACTCTTTTTTTTTTTTTAGATTTTATTTATTTATTTGACAGACACAGTGAGAGAGGGAACACAAGCAGAGGGAGAGGGAGAGACAGAGGGAGAAGCAGGCTTCCCGCTGAGCAGGGAGCCTGACTTGGGACTTGATCCCAGGACCCTGGGATCATGACCTGAGCCGAAGGCAGACACTTACTGAGCCACCAAGGCACCCTCACTCTTTCTCAAATAAATAAACTATATTATTGAGTAAAATAGGGTTACAAGGAGCACTAGGTATTTATACTTAATTGGAAGACTCTTTTTTTTTATTGAGCAAATTATAGTTTATTGAAAGACTAGAATTTTGTAATACTAAGAATGGTTAGTAAGCATTCTGGTTTAGGTGTTCTTTATTGCTAACTGATTTTTTATATATTATTTCAGGCACCTCAAACATAATCCTTAGAGTAGTCACTGTTAAAATATAGAAGCTTGAGACTTTTGATACTCTTCAAATTTTCCAAAAGTAAGAAAAATTCAGCTGGGTTTTTTTTGCACTCTTATAATAATGAAGATTTCCTTTATTGCCTTATACTAACTACACATAAAGGTTTTTTACCACCTCTACTGACATTATCTTCCTCATCTTTCATAAATTTAAAAACTGGTGAAGTAAAAGAGGTAATTGGAAGACTCTTATCTAAGCCAAGACCTGTGTTGTTAATGATTTCTCTGATCCCAAGTTATTGTAGTGTTTTAGTTTCTTGAATATATTTTTACAAATATATATTGCTAAATTTTAAAAATTGAGATATATAGCTGACATATAACATTATATTAGTTCCAGGTGTACAACGTAATTTGATATTTGTATACATTGTGAAATGTTCACAATAAGTCAAGTGAATATCCATCACCACACAGTTACAATTTTTTTCTTGTGATGGGAACTTTTAAGATTTGCTCTCCCAGCAACTTTCAAACATACAACATAGTATTCACCATGCTGTACATTACATGCCTAGGACTTAATTATTTTAGAGCTGGGACTTTGTACCTTTTGATCCCCTTTACCCATTTTCTCCACGCCCTGACCTCTACCTCTGACAAACACCAATCTGTTTTCTGTATGAGTTCAGGGTCTTTTTTAGATTCTGTATATAAGTGATTTCATATGGTATTTGTCTTTCTCTGTCTGATTTATTTTACTCAGCATAATGCCCTCAAGTTCCATCCATGTCGCAAATGGCAAGATTTCCTTCTTCCTGAATAACAATTCCACTGTATGTGTATACGTGTGTGTGTGCATGACATCTTCATGTACTTATCCATCGATGGACACTTAGGCTGCTTCCATATCTTGGCTATTATAATAATGCTGCAAGAAAAGTTTCACACAGTAACTAGTTACATTTTCTTTTTTTTTTTTTTTTAAAGATTTTATTTATTTATTTGACAGAGAGACACGGTGAGAGAGGGAACACAGCAGGGGGAGTGGGAGAGGGAGAAGCAGGCTTCCCGCAGAGCGGGGAGCCCGATGTGGGGCTTGATCCCAGGACCTGGAATCATGACCTGAGCTGAAGGCAGACGCTTAACAACTAAGCCACCCAGGCGCCCCAACTAGTTATATTTTCAAGTGATATGTTTAATATGTTTTCAACCTCAGACATATTTGTGGGCAAAGTACTTCTATATTTAAAGCTATAAGGGGGCACCTGGGTGGCTCAGTTGGTTAAGCGACTGCCTTCGGCTCAGGTCATGATCCTGGAATCCTGGGATCGAGTTCCACATCAGGCTTCCTGCTCAGCGGGGAGTCGTCTTCTCCCTCTGACTCTCCTCCCTCTCATGCTGTCTCTCATTCTCTCTCTCTCAAATAAATAAATAAAATCTTTAAAAAAAAAATAAAGCAATAAGTATGACCATTAACCTGAAAAAAATTATTTTCCCACATTTCCAGACTTCTTTGACACTTAGTATTCTAGTACTGGATACATACATATTGCTACCTGGGGAACTTTCTACCATTGACCTCATTCTTTTCCTAGATAACCTCAACCCCAGAACATGATTTTGACAAGAAGAAAACCAAAATACTATTTACACTCAGCTCAAACTTGATCTTAGAATCCCCAGATTCTATTTTTTAAAATTTGAAGTCTACACATTTGTCTAGTTGTCAAAAGTGTCTGAAATAGTCATATATAATGTAAGCAGAATATCTTTTTTTACACTCACCTTCCCTCTAGAATGTTACATTTGGATATATATATATTTTAAGATTTTATTTATTTATTTGATAGAGAGATAGACAGAAGAGCACAAGCAGAGGGAGTGGCAGAGGGAGAGGGAGAAGCAGGCTATGCACTGAGCAGGGAACCTGATGCGGGACTCGATCCCAGGACCCTGAGATCATGACCTGAGCCGAAGGCAGTCACTTAACCAACTGAGCCACCCAGGCACCCCTCATTTTCCCCCCTTTTAACAGGAACACTCAACACTCTCTTTGTTTAGTGTTATACTCAGACATTAGGTTGATTTTTTCCAGTATGAAGATAGGTTATTTTTTATATAGTACTACTTCTTTAAAAAACAAAAATGAAAAACGGGGGCGCCTGGGTGGCTCAGTTGGTTGAGTGACTGCCTTCGGCTCAGGTCATGATCCTGGAGTCCGGGGATCGAGTCCCGCATCGGGCTCCCTGCTCGGCAGGGGGTCTGCTTCTCCCTCTGCCCTCTTCCCTCTCGTGCTCTCTGTCTCTCATTCTCTCTCTCTCAAATAAATAAATAAAATCTTTAAAACAACAACAACAACAACAAAAAAACAAAAAACGGGGGCCTGGTGGCTCAGTCAGTTAAGCGTCTGCCTTCGGTCAGGTCATGATCTCAGGGTCCTGGGATCAAGCCCCGCATTGGGCTCCTTGCTCAGCGGGAAGCCTCCTTCTCCCTCTGAAACTCCCCTCTCTTGTGCTCTCTCTCTCAAATAAGTAAATAAAATCTTTAAAAAAAAACCACATATAACATACAAAAAATTTTAATGAAAATATTACCTAAAATCTCATTTTTCTGAGAAAACCAGCATTAACATCAGCCACTGGGGGAAACAGAATGCAAGAGACATTGATGAACAAATGAATTGTAAACATGTTCATAAATCTGAATTTATGTTGGGTGTAAGTAATTTAAGGATTAATTTGGGAGAAGGCTAGAAATAAGGTGAAATGAATATTCTAGATAACATTAGAATAAATGGTAGGAATCAGGGTTACAGTGTTATAAATTTGTGTTCTGGGAGAGGATAGATATTAACTTTATACCTTGTTGAATATGCATGATAAAAACTGAAGGCTACCCACTAAAAGGAACAGACTGTCACAAGTCACTGGAGAGAAAAAAAGGGAATAAAAACTATAAATCCAGTAGAACACAGGAAAGGAAAACTAAAGCAACAAGGAAAAAGCACGGTAAATACAAAGGAAGAATAAAACTCAGGAATGTGTCCAAATATATCACTAATCACAATAAAGGCAAATGGATTAAATCACTATCCTGAGGAATAATAATGCCTTCATTATATTTAGGGATACTTTTTTAACATGTCAAAAGCACTTTATAACTTACATTGCAAAAGGGAGATAATCAGGTGCTCTCCAAAAACAAAGGCTGATACTTTTTTGAGAAAAGAAGGAAGAAAGAAGGTAAATTGGTGATATGACTAATTTATTTCATGAACTAACGCTCTCTCTTGTTTAAAAAAAAAAATGTTTTCCGGGCGCCTGGGTGACTCAGTTGGTTAAGTGTCCAACTCTTGGTTTCAGCTCAGGTCGTGATCTCAGGGTCTTGAAATCAAGCCACGTGTGGGGTTCCCCATTGGGCACGGAGCCTGCATAAGATTTTCTCTTCCTCTGCCCCTCCCCACCTAGTGCACACACTCTCTCTAAAAAAAAAAAACAAAGTTCAAATAATTTTTTCAAGTCTAGAAATTAATTATAACTAGTAAAGCAGTAAGCGTGCTTAATCAGTGTAAGAGTTATCACTTTACGTTGGGCAGAGAAAGGATTAATTTAGTCTGTTTTGAGCAAGGCTCTCCATCACACAGCAGTGGTACAAATATCTTTAAAGTCAGAGTGACTGTTTCTGGGTTCTCTGTCTTCACTGCATTTTAATCAAGAGGGAGAAGGAGATACTTTTTATTCCTCCTCCTTTTGTCTTAACAAAAAAGAGGCCTAAAAATCCATACTTTTCCAAAGCAGAGGCTAGCAGATTGTTTTTTAAAATCCAAATATAAGCTGCATGCAAGATTGAAGCCAAATCATCCAGAAAGGATAGAAAATAAAGGAGTGGTACAAGATCCACTAATCAAATAATAGGAAGCTGATGTATCAATATTAATTGCCATAGATCAAGGGTGGTAAACTTTCCCTGTAAAGGGCCAGATATCAGTTACCTTGCTTTGTGGGCAATACAATCTGTTACAACTATTCTGTTGCTGTAGCATGAAAGCAGCCATAGACACACAAACAGATGAGTGTGATTGTATTCTAATAAAACTATATACAAAAGCAGGCAGAAAAACAGATTTGTTCCTCGGGTGTAGATTGCCTACCCCTGTTCTAACTGTATACTGATAACACAGCAGTGACCAAAAAACGTAAGATACCAGCACTTTACTCAACAAGAAACAAATAAATGATCATCTTAGGTATTGACCAGTAAAACACTCTTTAAAACCTGTGAGGACATTGAATGTGATAGGAAACTAAGATGGAGTAGCAAAGGAAGTCCTCTGAGAAGAGACCTTTAAGCCGAGACCTGAATGCAGTGAAGGAAGGAGCATTGGAAAGAACCTGCAAGGATCCTGAGGCAAGAGTGAGTCTGGCCTGTTGAGAACCAGCGAGAATTCCAGTGTGGCTGGAGGAGAGATGTGGAGATGAGTTTTGTGCATTAGATAGGTTTCCAGAGTATGTGACATTGCATTCTAAATGTGATGGGAAGGTTGTGAAGATTTTGAGCAGAAGACTGGTATAGTCTGATTTACTTTTGAAAAGTTCTCCCTGGCTGTGTGTGGGGGATAGATAGTAGGGATGGCAAGATGGCAAATAGGGAGACTAGTTAAGAGGCAGTTGTTCCAGAGTCCAGACAACAGATGATGGTGCTTTGGACTAGGGTGTTGGGAGTGGAGATGGTCTTCTGGTGGCTAGACTGTGTCAGCCAGAGCAGCCTTGGAAGTAATGTGTTGAAGAGGGCAGAGCCACTATAGTCTGGATCATTGCTATGGTCTGAACATTTGTGTTCTCCTCAAATTCATATGTTGAAAACTTCATGCCCAAGGTGATGGTATTAGGAGGTGAGGCCTTTGGGAGATGATTAGGTCATCAGGGCAGACTTCATGATTGGGATTAGTACCCTTGCAAAAGAGGTCCCACAGAGCTCACTAGCCCCTTCTGCCATGTGATGGTACAAGAAGTCTGCCAGCCTGAAGAGGTCCCTCTCCTGACCATGCTGCACCCTGATCTCAGACTTTTCAGCCTTCAGAACTATGAGAAATTTCTGTTCTTGTAGGCTACCCAGTCTATGGCATTTTGTTATAGCAGCCTTAACGGACTAAGTCACTGAATGACCACATGGGAGAGAGCGGCACACCAACATGGACCACCTACCCTGTACTGTGAAATAAGGAAGAGGAGGGAACTCCTATTTTGCTTGAGCCAATGCATTGGGAAGTCTATTTGTTACAGCAGTTTAATCCCCTATAACTAACACAGGGGTTGTCACTGAAGTACACACGTACCCTGGAGATATTGCAGGTTCAGTTCCAGACTGCTGCAATAAAGCAAGTCAAATTTTTTTGGTTTTCCAGTGCATTTAAAAGTTATAAGCCCAGGGGTGCCTGGGTGGCTCAGTTGGTTAAGTGTCTGACTTTGGCTCAGGTCATGATCTCAGGGTCCTGGGATCGAGTCCTGCATTGGGCTCCTTGCTCAGCGGGGAGCCTGCTTCTCCCTCTGCCTGCCACTCCCCCTGCTTGTGCTCTCTCTGACAAATAAAAAAGAATGGAGGCTGAAAGATCACAAATAAAATCTTAAAAAAATGGTATAAGCCTGTATATGTATATATATACTATATATACTGTATGTATATGTGTTATATTACATGTATATGTATGTATATACTGTATATACTGTGGTCTGTATAAGTGTGCAATACCATTATGTTTAAAAACACTATGTACATACCTTAATTGAAAAAATACTTTCTGGCTAAAAAATGCTAAGCATCATCTGAGCTTTCAGCAAGTGGTAATCACTGATCATAGATCACAATAACAAATATAAAAATGAGAAAGTTTGAAATTTCGAGAATTACCAAAATGTGACAGAGACCTGAAGTGTGCAGGGGATAATTGGGGGCCATTTTAGAGGCTGCCTACACACTGAACATTACAATTTCTGGGGCAGAGGGAAAAGAAACATGACAAATTGTGCATTGGCTCCTAAAAGATCCCTTTGGAAGTGGCATACAGTACTTCTGCTCATATTTTGTGGCCAAACAGTTTGCACTGTCATCACTAACTTCCAAGGGATGGGAAATTGCAGTCCTACCATGTACTGGAAAGAGGAGGGAACCCAGAACATTTGTGAACAGGGCCGACTACCAGAGTCACAGGTGCAGAACATGACGTTAACTGGGATTTGTCCTTTAGTTCAGGATGGAAACTAGGATTAAGAGGTGAGGCATTAAGCACCCCACAATGTAAAAAGAGCCATAAATAACTGGGGGCCAGACAACCTCTCCATTTCCAGGACTTACTAAAAGGTGACCAAACAGGCTTCTCCATCCTCCACCATTTCCCCAGACCTGTTCTGACAACCCCCACCACCTGAAATAACTTCAAGATTAGTTGGCGGGTGGGGATGGAAACCAGCAGCCATGAATCAGCCTTGGGGGAGAATGCCCCCTGGGGTTTGCTCCAAAAATCAAGTGAGGATTCTAAGAGATGCCCTCGTGGAGATTGAGGCTGCTTACAAGGAGGAGGTAGGAAACCTGTATAGAAACAGGAGGGAGAAAGGGCGGCCAAGTGGATATCACATTAAGTGTTCTGACTGGGGACGGGGGAGAGGCCCGGGGTTTGGCGGGGTCACCTTGGGCTGGGGCTACGCATCAGAGAACTGTGCGAGAGGGAGGGCCGCACACTCAGGCCCCGGGCCGACCCTATCTGAGAACGCCTGCTGGCCCAGAGGAGCCAGTGCGATGACATTCCAGAAAGGACCACCGGCCAAATAAGAGGAACCAGTCCCTGCCCGTCTCTTAGCCTCAACCCCTAAGAAGCCAGACTCCCAAGTGCGAGGCTCGGGCTCGGAGCTCTGCCGTGCGGCGCAAGCTTCCACATCGGAAGGAGGGAGAACGTCCTCCCACTGAGGATCCCAGGAACTGAAATTAAAAAGTGACTTTCCTACCTACCGGCAGGGCTGGCAGAGAAACCTCTGCACGCCGCGGGGCCAGGTTGCTCACCCGGCAGCCGGGGGGCACTGAGGCGGCGCGCCGCGGGGTCTTGTGGGAGGTGCCGCGGGCTCCCCGCGCGCAGGCGCAGTGCTGCCGGGCGGCGGGCTTAGTCCCGGCCACCGAGCTCTTCGCAGCGCCAGCAGTCGCTCGCGGAGAGACTGGGGCTTACAGGGGCAGTAGGGGTCAGCGGAACGATGGAGATCAGAACGCCGGAGTGCGGGTGCGATGGAGGGACTTGAACCCCCAAATCTGGGGCCCCGGGGGCGATGGTCTCGAAAAGAGTGTGATGCCGAGATTTGACTGTAGAGGGTGGGAACCTTCCAGGTTCTCTAAAGCACTCACCTCACGGTGCTCTGCTCATCTCCGACGGGGGTTAGTGGCATCTGCCTCCAAGTGGCTCGTGGATCCCTTTCTCCTTCCGACTCCAGGCTTGGCTCCGCAGTCCTGTGACCGACTGCTCCGGCTCTGAGCGCCTCCCAGGTCGGGGCCGCGATCCTGTGTCTCCCCTCTCAGAGCAGTGTGGCCCCGGGGACATCCAACCTTTGGTGCCTCAGGTTTCTCCCTCAAGTGTTTGGTCGCCTGCGTTGCCGTTCTTCTGTCCAGAGGTCCCTAGCCCGAGTTCCTCCAGGTATGTATCCTGAGAGGTGCTTAGCGGAGCTTTGAGCCCGGCTGGGTTTTCGAAGACTTGTTGGGGGGAGGGGGCCGGATAGAGATTTGGAGCCCTGGAGAAAGTTGCCAGCCAAGGACATGCTGTTCCTGAGCCAGTGGGAACAAGCCATGCTCTAATGAATGAAGGCTGCAGCAACACAGGCAGCTGGAACCCATCCTTGAGGGGACACACCTGTGACCTGAGGCCTGCCAAAACTGAGCCAAGGCTGGGGTGTGGAGGAGGACGGGATTGTGGAGCTGCTGGGGCTGCAGAGGTTACTTAGCAAGGCTTGGGTCACGTGACCACTTTCAGAGAACAGGGAGACACTGTCGAGGTTTGACTCAGAACAGAGGAAGGACAACTTAACTGAGATGGTGAACAATCTGTAGCATGGAGAAAAGAAGGCAACATAGGGCAGGGGGGTTGAGGGAATGGTTCAGACAAGGCAGAACAATGGCCACACTCTCTGGGAGCTGCAAGGAAGGCTTGGTGTCTCATGGCTCCTTCCTTCTCCAGCTCTGCCTCCTTAACTCCCTGACCTTGCCTAGGAGGAAGAAGAGATGACCACTTCCCAGGTAAGATGCAATTTTCCTTTTTCAGTTCAGACTCTTGAGGAAGAACATAAGTTCCTCTTTCTTCCTTAGGAAAGGAGAAGGAAATATTCATGGAGCACTTACTGCATGCTAGATACACTCAACATTGACTTTTAGTTCTCACAATAGGTGTGAGAAGTGGATATTATTCCCGTTTTACAGATGTAGCAACTGCCTCAGTGAGGTTTAGAGACTTGTCAAGTTCACCAAGCTATTAAATGGGGAAGTCAGGATTCATCTCTAGGTCCCTTGCCTCTGCTGTACACGTTGTCAATGGACAAGTCTTCTTATCCATGGACTGGGCATAAATTGTCCACATCCAAAGGGCTGGGTCTAATCTGTGAAATGAGGGACTCCAAAGAGAATGCTACCTTTGGGCCTGATGCCCTCCTTTAAGTTTGTTCTCTACCTGACATGTTGCTCCTTCATTTATCCACTGAGTTGTGAAGCCCTTTTTATTTGTAAGAGTAAGACAAATTGACTTAGATACACTTCTTCGAAATATGTGATTTCTTTGGGGGAGATTAATATATACATGTGTAAAATAGTGATTACTCATGTATCCATTAATTAAAATGAAAGAAGCCATATATAAGTATCAATCTGAGGATTGAAGTCAGTGGTATCAGTGCTAGAGAAGGGTGATTGAGGAAGACTTCCTAAAGTAGGTGAGCTTTTGTTTCTTAAAGAGAAGATTTGAGTATATGAACTTCCATACTTCTTTCAAGTCTTTACTTTTTTTATTGTTGATAATTGTTTTATGGCCTAATAGGTGATCAATTTTTACAATGTTTCATGTGTGCTTGAGTACAATATGTATTCTCTAATGGTAGGTGCCAACATCTATAGGTGCCCATTTATTTTTGTTTGTTTGACCCATCAATAATTGAGGAAAAAAAATGTGTGAAATTTCTTTGAGTAGTAGATATGTCAGTTTCTCTCTACAGTACTTTCATTGTTTAAAAAGATGTAATTCGTGGATGTTTTAAGAGGTATATACAAGTTTAGATTTGTTGTATCTTCACGGAGAATTGAATTTTTTATCTCTATGCACTGACCTTTTATTTCACTAGTGATGCTTTTCATCTAGAAATTTACTTTGTAAATTTGTAAATTACTATAGCTATTCCAGCTTTCTTTTGGTTATTATCTTTTTCCATACTATTATTTCAACCTTTTCATGGCCTTATGCTTTAGGTATATCTCTTGTTAACAATTTAAAGCTGAAAAAAACAAAACAAAACAATTTAAAGCTGAATTCTCCCTCCTCCCCCCTCATCTCTGCCTTTTAACTGGCAGGTTTAGTCTATTTGCTTTTAGTGTAGTTATTGGTATATTTGCTGTGTTTATACTATCTTACCTTTTTTTTTTAAGTAGGCTCCACACCCAGTGTGGAGTCCAACGTGGGGCTTGAACTCACAACCTTGAGATCAAGACCCAAGCTGATATCAAGAGTCGGACACTTAACTGACTGAGCCACCCAGGTGCCCCTATACTTACATTTTAATTTTATTTGTCCATTTTTCTGTTTTTTTCCCTCCTTTCTTACCTTTTGGCTTTTGTATATTGTTTTTTAAGTGGCTAGGGTTTTGTTTTTTTTTTTTTACCCCTCTCTATTTGTTTTAAATTTAAAACCTATATCTATTCTTTGGGTGGTTATCCTTGAAATTTTATGATATATTTGCAAATCCAAGTTTAAACAACTCAAAGAATATTGCAAAGACTTTAAAACTCTTTACTACTGATCGCATCTTCACTTGACTTATAAGCGATTATTTTCTGCATTTTAATTCTGTTCTTTTAACTTAATAAATTAGATATTATTAGAATTATTTTATACAGACAACGTTTGGATTTACATACATATTTATCACTTATTTACGTGCCATTCCTTCTCAGACTTTTGGGATCACTTTTCATTTTCCTCAAGTGCATGATTTTTAAAATTTATTTTCATTTTATTATGTTATGTTAGTCACCATACAATACATCATTAGTTTTTGATGTAGTGATCCACAATTCATTGTTTTATTATAACACCCAGTGCTCCATGCAATACGTGCCCTCCTTAATACCCATCACCAGGTTAACCCATCCCCCCACCCCCCTCCCCTCTAAAACCCTCAGTTTGTTTCTCAGAGTCCATAGTCTTTCATGGTTCCTCTCCCCCTCCCATTTCCACCCCTTCATTTTTCCCTTCCTTCTCCTAATGTCCTCCATGCTATTCCTTATGTTCCACAAAAAAGTGAAACCATATGATAATTGACTTTCTCTGTTTGACTCATTTCACTTAGCATAATCTCCTCCAGTCCCAACCATGTGATGTAAAAGTTGGGTATTCATCCTTTCTGATGGCTGAGTAATACTCCACTGTATATATGGACCACATCTTCTTTATCCATTCATCTGTTGAAGGGCATCTCGGCTCTTTCCACAGTTTGGCTATTGCGGACATTGCTGCTATGAAC